GCGGCGAATCGACATTTCACGGTCATCACGAACACTGGCGGATACAGCCGCAATATTTTCTTCGGTCCTCACTCTACGTATGCGTGTTGGTTGTTTAATGTCCAGTAATGTAAACTGGGTTCGAAATTTAGTCACAAGCTTCAGAATAGCTCCCTCAGTAGGCCGACGAAACTGCCCATAAATTGGAAGAAGTGCACGATGCACTTTCTTCACTGAGCATTAATTTTGATAATAAATTTCAATAATTTGCAAGCGTTGTTCATTCGTAAGTCGATTCATGGCTAAATTATAGACCAAACTGAACAAGTTTGACAATGACACAAGACACGATTCATGCGTGATCTGTCAAAAACAGTGTTGCCAAAAAGATACCAGCAAAAAAATCACTCATTACCTACACCGTAGGTTTGGGTTGGATCTTTCCTGCACTGGTGAGAGGTAATACCTTAAAACCGGTCTGTAAGTGATCTATTCGAGTAGGCTCAGCATGGTCCTTTTGCTGGAAGAACGAGAAACATCTGCGGGACCAACCTCTGTGAGATATCTTGCACAACTGTCTGTCGGATATAGTTCAATATCCAGAGTGGTATTAGCCGGGGAAGTAGTTATTTTCCGGCAGGCATTTACCAGAACCAAGGTGCAGGTAGTTGGGAAAGATGAATATTTCAAGATTTCATTTATTTAGAGATATTTATTTTCTCATACATCTCTAATCTGTAATTTGTAAATTTAGTGTCCTATACTCTACTAATGTAATATGTTTACAATTGATTGAAATTGTTCGGCAGTAAAATAAACTGAAAACTGTCTCAATAAAAACCTTTCTTGTCCGTTGGTGCAGTATTGCTAAGTCGTCTTCTAATGACTACAATCATTTTTTTGAAATGGATGTTCTGATTTGGTGATCATTGCCTTGGAATTTTGATAGTTTTCACAGGCTACATTTATATATTCAAATCTGTTGAACAACTTGAGTCAAAAGAGTATGTGAATCAATTTGAGACCAGTTAATTTTTTTTATAAATCTATTTTACTTCCAAACATAAGTTTACTTCTGCTAAAATATATAAAATATAAAAAGTTTTTCTGCGTTTTTCGTGAAATGTTTAACCAGTTTTAACTTGTCTCATGATTTGATTTTCTCAAAGCACAGGCTTAAACATATGACTTGTTGGTTAACCTGAATGTTGCACTGTATTTTTGAAGCTTTTGTTTATATGCACCTCATCTCTTGCAAGTTTTTAGTTAGGACAGCATGTTGCATTATTTTTTTGATAGAAATCGGTGGTGTTGGAGCAATTAGAAACTGTCACTAAGCAACTGGAGGAAAAATGTGAACAGGTGAGCTTGGAAATACATTTTTTGAACGGTTCATTACGTTATTGTAATTACTTTCTGAATACTTGTGAGCTTCATATAATGAATTGGAAGAAAAACTTGGAAGCGGGAAAATTGTTTCTAATAAAGATTCAGCTTATACTGTGCATTTCTTCAATGCCCCCCTCCTTCTATTTTTTGAACAGATCAACTCAAAAAATTGAAATTTGGGGTAATGAAATTAATGCATGAATACTTTATTTTGAAGTAAAATTGACAGATAAAACTTACAAGATGGCGACTGGGTGCCATCTGGGAAACAAAAATTAAACAGAAAGGAGGGTCTTTCACCAATTTTTTGAGTTGATCTGTTCAATAACATTGAAGAAATGCACTGTATACAGGTCTGTTCAAAAAATAAGGTGAATTTTCATTTTTCTCGATAAATATGCATTCATTAATTTCTATTTTGTCTCATTCAAAGTAGTCCCCCTCATATATAATACACTTCTGCCAGCGTTTCTTACTAGAAGCAGTTCCGATGTGCACCTTTTGGTATGTCCTTCAGTTCTCTCATTCGGTTTTTATCTCATCAATCGTGGCAAAACGCCGTCTTTTCATGGGTACCTTCAATCTTGGAAACAGAAAAAAGTCGTAGCAATGACGTAGCAAGCAATGACGAGTTGAGCAGGTGCATTATCGTGACTGAATTGTTTTTCCACAATACCGGCGTGCTTTTTGTGGTCTTGGCTCTCATGAGCTTTTCCATTGGGACGATTGGTATTTTGTCTCAAATACCTGATCTTTTTATGCATGTATTTTCACTCAGTGTAAATTGTTCCAGAGTCAAGAGTTTTGTCTATACGAGAAAATGGAATATTTTTTCATTGTTGTGAACGAAATAATCATAAATTTTCCATTCAACTTTTTGTGAGACTAGACATTTGATATTTGGAATTATGATCATCGTTGCTGATATTTTCTACAACACTTATATATATCTTTGAATCAGAAGTGGACCTACATAATTGAACTCCTGCCTTTCTGCTTAAAGATAGTTTGTTATGTTGAAATGCCCATCTCGTTCAAAAACCTACTTATATGTTCTTTTATTCTTTTGGAGAAAGTTATCCCCGTTTGCCCAGTATAAACAAGTTTTGGGAAAAGAGCGACAAGTCAACTTATATACTCATGATTTATTCTTGATTATTCTCAATTAATATTCTCAAATTATTATTTGTTGTATAAACTATGTCCAACTCTTAGAAACATCAAAATGTGTGTGAATTGGTGGAAATTTAAATTTTCGAAATTCTCGTCAAAAATTGGATTCACTTCTGGTTAAACTGGAAGTGATATTCAATTGATTTATAGTCGAGAATATCAGCTTCAATGAACTATACCTTTAGTCCAAATTTTAATGTCAAATTTTGATTTTGTTCAAGAATCACAAGCCCAGTCTCTGCATTTCCTAGTATTAAGAATGATTAAATGATTGTCAGTTTATGATTGCCAGTTTTATTAGACCCACATTATTCATAGCTTTGTTTGATCGACACAAATAACAATTGTATATATTATGTGAATATTTTTTGGCTTCAAGGTTAACTTGCTCTTGTATATGTATACTATTAACTTGTGGTGGCATGCAGGGTTCATAATGGGGGATATTTACTCATTAAACCATTCAGAGACATTCTCATCTAACTATTTGATTATTCCTAATATTATTTGCCACTACTTTCAAACTTACGGATAAACAATTGTAGGTTGATAAACTGAGAGCTCAGGCTGCAGAACAAGCAGAAATGGTGAAAGCACAAGAAACGGAATTGAATAGCAAAAAGGAACAATTGGAGGGACTCCGCATCGAAGAAGAGCGATTAGAAAAGCTGAAAGCTGAGAACACGAAGAAGTTGTCAAATTTGAATTCAAATTTGCAAGATACGCAGTTGAGCATTAGCCAGGTACAAATATTGTATACCAGATGTGATATTTTGGGCATCTGAAATTGTTTGTGATTCTGGACCAGTGAATAACTCATACGTGATTGGGCAGGATAGCCGCCCCCCCTCTCGGCCACTGATAAACATAACCTGAATTCACGAGTGCTCCATTTTATCTCTAACCTTGCAAGCAATAACACAGACATCCAAAGATGTCTAAAAACCCGAAACCGCAAACAGTTTCAATAGATGACCGTGAAAGCCTAAATTTCTACATTGACATTTTCACTTAATGTTTCTTACAGGCCAAAGCTTTAATAACTCAGCTACAGGAGCAAACGCGTCAAATGAATGACGCAATAGCAACGTGCGACTCAGCAATGGAATCCGGCGATGTTTCTCAAATACCCGAAGCGATTCTGAGAATCAAACCGGAATTCAAGGATCCCGAATATAATAAATTAACCATGAATAGTGATACCAGGAAACAGGTAAGTTATGATTTTTCGTGAGTTGATTTAGCTTAGTTTTACTCGCTTTCGTATTGTTTACTTTTTTATAGTCCAGGTATGGATAAAGATTTCTATTAATATGTATTAATTGTGAGCTAATAATAACAATAATAACTTTATTCGTCCGTTTGATAATTTACATGATATCAGACATGTCATAAATAAAAATATATAAACAATAATGAAGGTTCACAGAATAAACATAGATAGGACACTTAACACAGGTACTTAACTATACTGAAACTATTGAANTACACCGAGCTTGCCTTTCCTTCCCTTGCCGATCCCATATTCACCCAGTTCATATCCGGTTTTCCTGCTTATTGTGCGGTATGCTACTATGAAACGCTGTGTGTTTTTGATATTGAAACTTCTTATTGTATGAAAATTGTTGACCATTTCAACATCAAGCTCTTCCATATTTTCTCAACGTTTTACAGTCCGGATGTTGAAATGGAAAACAATTCGCCAAAATCCTTTTTTTTGAGACAGTCATAGATCTATGATCAGGTGATACTTTTGAAAATATTAACAATTTTCACAAAGCAATGTGGAAAATTATTTATTATCGATATGTTGCAGTAACAATACGTTATAAAAATAACTTAAATAGTTGTAAAATACTTTTCAAAAGTCGTTAGACAGAGAAAAAGAAATATACTTCAATTTCAAGACAAAACAGTCACAATTATAAAAAACACAACATGTTTATAAAAAAGTATAGTTTGAGAACAATGGATACTACAGATGAATAAATAGAAACAGTTGAAAAATGTTTAATAATAATAATAATAATGGTAATAATAATAAATGCAGGGAGGCCGAGGGTATAACTGTGGCACCCCCGGAAACCGGAGGCACAAGGTCAACCATCTGTTTTATATGGATGATCTCAAACTTTATGCCTCTGGAGAGAAGGATCTCCATCAGTCCTTGAGGGTGGTGGAGGAGTACACGCATGCTATCGGTATGAAATTCGGGATAGACAAATGTNACGCGCCCTCCCGAATTTATCGGGGCTTCGGGGGATAGGGCCTGACCAGCGCATACTTCGGTGGAAAAAAATGTTTTCATTGAAAGATTACTCAGTACAAGAGATACTAACCTAACCTAACAAATGGCAGAATTCAACATCTGCATATGATAAATCAAGGCAGATATTGCTCTTCCATCAAACCGTCAAAAAAACAAGCAACCATTAAAAAAAAACACAAATTTTTTTGAATTATAGTTCAAAAATTTATAAGACAAACTGAGCGACATGATAAATTGTTCAATCAATCATTATTAAACTCTTCCAGGCTATAATGAGGTCTCTCTTGAAATGAAAATTGTACAGCCTTGTGAAAAACACAAGGCTATACAATTTTCATTTCAGCACAAGACCGGCTGTTTTTGACTGAAAAATATTTCTTTTTCTGTTTCCCCAGCACAAGTGCTTTGCACAAGGCTGTTGTTTGCAACTCCCCAAGCTATTGTTGGTATCTCCAACTCCAACTGAGGACCTAAGTTGATGAGATACCAACCTGAAAGCTTGGTATCCAAGCTTCTAGTAGCCAATTCTTTATTCATGTTGCATGTATGGTTTTCAAATTGCAGTTCATCGTTTACAGATACCTATTAATTCATATATATCCGATAATCAGAAGTCCGGGTTGAACCGCTTCTGGTATTTTTAGTTACTTGACGTTTCGGCTTCGACTTTGTGGCCATTTTCAAGAAGCTATGACTACACTGAGGTCTCAATCTACCTACTCCTCAGGTAGCGACACGCTGTAAGGGTTTTGTGACTTGACGCCGGGGTCTCAGTCTGCCTACTCCCCAGATCTCACCGCTCTGCCAACTCCAAACGTCGACTGTGGGTCTACAGGCTCTGGTCTGGTATTTATGTACCTGGACGAATGGAGGGGGTGGGCCGGTAGAAGAAGCAATGGTGGGGTTGGTAGTGGGATCGAGATTATGATTACTTACTTAAATATTGTTATAAATTGTATTTATTCACCTGATTTCTTTTGTTTTTAGCAGTTCATTTTCATTTCTTCCAATCGAATGGCACCTGCATGTGCAAGTTGATGTAGTTGCAAGTATATCTGAATTTGCCTAACAATTTACAGGCGCTGCTCAAAGTTACCCCATACTAACACATATTCAATAATCATTCCAGCCTTAATAATCTACATGTATCCTCTTCAGTTCACCGATAAGCCGACTCCTAAGGTCCAAGCACAATCTTCTAAAGGTCTCGATTTCACCGACGATCCTTTTCGAGATTACCGGTACGAAGATCCGTTTAACTTTACCTTTGACGACGAACCACCATCGAACTCGTCCAAGGACTCGAAAGACCCCGCCAGCAGTGATTTCGATAAAAATAAATTCGACCCTTTCGGACTGGGAGGGAGGCAGTCGGTACCTTTACCTAGTTCGGACCCTTTTGTTAGTACGTGTGGTAGAGCCTCCGCCCCCCTCACTTCGCAAGGGTTCAGCGAAGTCCAACAACTGGAGTGGGCCGCCCTAGAGAGCTTGAGGCTCGAAGAGGATCGTAAAAGGAGACAAATGCAAGAGCAGGCCGATTTAGATTTAGCGATAAGTTTAAGTAAAGCTGAAAGCAAACAAATTTAGCTTTGACGTACGTCAGTGTCGTTATTAACCATCACGAGAAGAGCTTGGACTGCGTTGAACGTTATTTTATAAGTTGATATTTTAGTTTTTAATGTTCACATATCAGTTTCGTTCGAGAAGTACTCATTCACCGTTTGCAATACTCTTTTACTAAAATAGATGTACACAGTAATTCAGGTGAGTTGTCAGGGTAGTGTATTGTAACTCTGATTAGCTCTGAAGATTTTAGGAGTCGAGTTTCTTTGAACTTTTCGAAACTAATTCTGGAATATAAGTCATAATCGAACCAAGCTCTTTGACTGGAATGCAGATACGTTTGGTGGCGTCAGAAATACAGCGGCGATAACAGCGCCACTATTTGAGGTTATGAAGGAAGACTTGTGGTTGGAATCGATCACTTGTCGTTTATCTGACCACTGGATTCATTGATTATGCTTCATAAATATGACGTTCATTTTGAAATATTTCGTGATCTCTCTACAAAACCTGATTTTGTGTACAACTTATTTGCGTTATACAGAGTTGTGTTATTCCTTTTTAATGTGTATAATATGACTGGCTGTTTATTTAGTTAATGCTATGATTATTTTGGTTTTATGATAATTATTAGTTTCTCACTTGAAGGGAGTTACACATTATTTTTGCCTTTTATAAGATGTATTCATTTTCAACATGAAACTATTTGAAATTTCTCATTCGAATAAAAACTGAATCTACATGTTTCGAAAAATTTCAAGGTTCTGACTGTGTACGAGACTATTTTTCAGTTTTGAATCTGCTCAAACAACAGATGGTAGTTTATTGAAAATTTTCTAATTTTTCGTCTTGAAAGATAAATGACGTGGTTGATTCAGTATTTTCATGGTCCTGTAGTTCAATTATTGATGTTATCAAGTCAAAATGACTTCGAGACCAGAAGATACGGCACTATTTGAGAAATTCTGTTAGGACCTGAAAAACACTTTTTTGAAGCTTTATTAGTTTTGATTCTGTCCTAATAATTTATTACTTAATGTTAATTGTTATTAAATTATGTAGATACCACTAAAATATAACTGGTCCCGGAACAGACTCTTGAGGAATCTCACAATTTACCTCAAAAATATCATCTTAATTGATATGCTTTATTGTCCAAAGAACCAGAGGTCTCACTGACAAAGCTAATGATGTTCATATTCCATAAAACTAGTACACAATGATAAATGTGGTTATCCAAATAGATATATGAAGGACTGATAACATAATGAAAATAGCTTATATACAGAATAAAAGACATATTTGCATACAATTTTATCTAAATATATACATTTGTAGACAACATGATACAATACAAGAAAAATTAAAATACCAGAAACATACTTTGACAATATATTGAAAAATACTATGAAATAATTTAGAAAAAGTATCCCTTCAAAACTGTTCTAAACTATAATAGGGTTTAATTGTGAATATTCTGACCTTTTACTTGATGAAAATCAAGAACACTATTGACAATAATTATTCAATTTTCACACCATAAATTTTAGTCAAGACGTGTTTCTCTACAGAGTAGTTTCAACGGTTGGATTGGTACATCAAACTATTCTAAAATATTTTTTATACATCAGTAGGTAATAACAACTTGATTAGATAAAGGACTGATTCTCGTAAAACAGGTTGTTAAAAAACAATTACATTACAGTACAATATTGATTCTGGAAAAACAGGTAATTTATGAATATGTTAATATTTGGCATTTCATGCCAAAACTTCATTAGATAAAATATTCATTCTGGTAAAACAGGTAGTTTTTGAAAAAACAATTACAATACAATATTGGTTCTAGGAAAACAGGTAGTTTATAAAAATGTTGATTACTGGCATTTCTTGTCATTACAATATTATGTTACTTCTAGGAAAATAGGTAATTTATAAATTATGTTAATTATTGGCATTAATGAAAACAAGTTAAATAATGGCGAGTGAATAAGTTAAACAACTAACAAGAGATTATTTACTGCCCACTGTTGAACTTGTTTTCATAAAATGCCAATAATCAACATATTTATGAATTACCTGTTTCTTAGAATTAATATTGTATTGTAATTATTTTATTGAGAATTTACCTGTTTTAACAGAATTAATCATTAGTCTAATCAAAGTGTAATTACCTACTGCTGTATAAAAGACATTGTAGAATACTTTGATTTACCAGTCCAACTGATGAAACTATCATGTAATAAAAATTGTATAATTATTATCAAGAATAGGCAAACAGGATATTGATTGAAAATGTTGAGTTTTTTTAAATATATAAAGTCTTTGACTAGAGTAGATGCTGATGTGGATAGTCTTAAGTCGTCAGTTGCCGTTAAATATCATTTTATGTTTGTTCAACAAACACATTTTCTAAAATAAAAACTCCAGTGACTCAAAATTCCGTGTGGTTCAAACAGAATTATGCAGGAGTCTCGACTTTTAGCAGTACACAGAAATCTTATTGTCTTTTTCTGTGTTATGAAAACAGTCTGTAATTTAGTTTGCAACCTCCACCTTGAATACAATTTCATGATATAAGTGAGAAAATGAGCTGATTTTGTGGCAGCATACCTATTTGCTCTTAAGTTATTCTCACTTCTTATTGGGAGTTACAATGTGGTCGTAAAATTTCAGTTTATTGTCATTTATTAGTACCAGGAATTCACAACTTGCCCTGTTTTCATGTATCCCATCACCACCCTTTTTTGATGAGTATGGTGTCGCTAGAGAAGCACAACGATATTGAGTTTGTTGGTAACATCATCCTTTAATTTTTTTATATTTGAATCTATATTCTTGTGGAGATTACATGAAGTTTTGATACGCCACATTGTTGAAATCATCGGCGAATAGTTTAAATTTCTCTTCTATATTTCTAGATGTTTAATCGCCTTAGCTTACCTTCAATTTTTATTGGCTCAGCTGTTCTTCTGACACCATCACGTGTTCGTTTTCCATTCAGCAATTCTTATATTCATTGGTGTATTTTTTTTTGACACTGTTCAGCTCGCTCCTTCAACCTTTAGTTGTTTTAATTTTTACCGACTGTTTTAATTTGGTGAGATAACCGCCATAATTTGTATTTTGTCTCAAGTAACTAGAATGTTTACACAATCTATTCTAGATATTGACCATTTAGATATGTGTAAAAGTTTGTTCATTTGTTGTATTATATCAGTTATGTAAATATTTTGTAAACTTGAATATATTTGTTATCGTTTTGTGTTATACTCATTTGTTATTTCAGAACAATGAAATCTTCCAATTGATGTATCCAGTTGTTATTCAAATAAAGTTATTCATTGATACCTAAATTTGATGATTGTGATCTGAATAATTTTTTTTTTAATTTTTGGTTCAAGTTTAGTGCTAGAGGTTCTATGTCCAGTATCACAAATATATGGTTTATTGTCATGGACAATCTTTTAACACTTCCAAAAATGGACATATGTTTTCACATTTTCAGATGGGAATTAAAAAAAAAGTTAGTCATCGGACAGCAAGCCATGATGGTTAAACCTCTGAAGAAGCTAACCACTCGCGCCAGCGAAACGTCAGGAAGAAATTCCAAAAATCCACGGCTTTCAAACTCGAAAAATAATGACACTGAAAGCCCTCAGCCGCGAAAGTCTAAATCATTTTGTCATTGAGGTCATGACTTTAAACAGTCTATTTTCGAACTCATTTCTGACATACTGGAAAAAAATCGAGAGGTGTCAAATCCGGTGAACGAGCAGGCCATTCCAACGCACTGCGCCTACTAAGCCGTATGTATGATACAACCAATCCCTTACAGAACTGAAAAAATTCAGAGGCGCACCATCTTGTTGGAGAGAGATTTGAATTTCGAATTCATCTTGATTGCTGGCCATAATTTCTTGAATTTGTGGATGATATATGGGACCAACAATATGACTCAATCAGAAATAGTGGTACAATGCAAGTACTTGGCGTATCCATTTTTTTGGACAGTAGGTATGTTTTGTATACATTATCTATGTGTTTCAAATACTTATATTTAAAAACGATACTATTTTTATTATTCGACAGTGGTAAATATGGTTTAACACAATAGTCAAGTCACCTTGCAAATATAATGAACTGTAAAATATATATCTCGAACAGATTCTCTAAGCTTTTTTCATTCGAAATATTAAAAATTGAGAAAAGCCTTGAATTCGAATAATTTTTCCCAAAACACTAGAACCACTCATGGTTATCATGTGAAAATTCATTAAAATCTGACTATAATCATTTTTATAATACCATTGACTCGAGTAATGATGAATCATCAGTATTTAAAAAAAAATACTTCAAATTTCGTCTTATCAACAATAATAAAGACAATTCTTAGAAGACGTCATATACTTGAATATTGACAACTCTGTAGCGCCCTCTGCGAAAATTGAAACTAAAGGAAGTAACAATACATTATAATGAAGAAATCAAAGTTTTATTTGTAATTTCGAGCTGTTTTCCGAAAGTAGTTGAAGAAAATTGGCATGATTCTCTCCTTATGTGATTCACGTCAAAGTCTGACTTCCACATCTATAACTATCTCTCTGCAGCTTTCAGTGTAAGCATACAATTAGAGATGACCAGTTAGGTGAAACAGGTGGCATTTCAAAGTCCAATTTCTTGTTTGTTAATGATTATAAATTACATATCGAGTTTTGTGACCATTATGTTCGGCCACTTCTACAATTTTCAAAATCATCGGAATGATCTCTCATTAAAACTATTCTTTATTCTTAGGACAATAAACGTATTTCTGTCTCTCTCTCACTTTTTATCTCACGCGAGGATCCGATTCAAAACATTATTGTTTCGGTTGCGCAAAGGCAAAGAAGAACAGATCTCGAAACGTGACTATTTCTGTCAATCGTTCAAACCGTGGATCATCCACTTTTCGAGATTTTTGACCTTTACAATACGTTTTAAACCATCTAAAACCGCATTGGAGCTAACGCCCAGTTCTTCCGCCAATCCACGCACATTTTGTGATGAGTCAGTCTCCACCTAGATCCCCAAATCCTCGTCCTGGATTACTGCAGGTCGACCACTTCGGCGGCTCATCTTCGTGGCTAATATCTCCGGAACGAAATGTCACATAACAACGTCGAACAGTGCGTTCATTAACACTATCATTGCCAATTGCTGGATTGATTTTTCAGTCTGTTTCGACAACGCCTTGAATTCGTAGAGAAAAATTGGCCGATAATCGCCTAATGACATCATATGACATCAAAAAAATTAAAATTTGGAAGAAATTGTACAGCATCAATGTATAGAGTACAAAATTCTTTGTCGATTAGTATTGTTACGTTTTTCCCCGTGGGTTGACCAATAATTGACTACACTGAATAATCAAACTTAACTTCACTTTAAATACAACAAACACTTCAACTATTATTTGAATGTCTATCGCCTAACTAGATCACTTCGCGTGCCGCACTGTAACGTCCACTTGACTGTGTACTTGACTGTCTCGAAACGCTTGCAGCCAGCGTTTAAACATCGTAATCGAACATCGTAGAATTTTCGCCGAAGTTCCATCGACATCGGTAGCATGACTCTCGCTGCTTCTTGAGCGGCAGGGAACATTGGGCATTCCCGCGCTCTTAGCCACGTCACGTTTGGTTTATGGTTACCAGTGGCGACCGGCGTTACTTTCTTTCGGGTATGATCTACAACAGTATATACTACGACATGGTAGAATAAATATTTATTGAGATATAGACCTACAAAAGTTTTGACATTAAAACGGACAAAACCATTATTAATGAAAATTTCAATATGAATATTTTGAGAGTCATTCTGATAAAGACACTAGGTCACAAAACTTTATCTAGTTATGATTTTGAAGAAAAAATACTCTTACATGTCAGTACTCGGGCCTATTTTTTAGAAATATCGTCCAACAAATGAGCGAAATTGAAAACACAATCCTCTTTGTTATTGGGGACCATGGTATGACTGCGACAGGTAAATTCCATTTCAAAGTGCAAAGAGCTCTACTGAATCGATGTTTTTTGTTCAAGGTGAGCACGGAGGTGAGGGTACCGACGAAGTTACATCCGCTATGTTTGTTTATTCCAAAGAACCTCTATCGAATTTTGAATATACGAACTCGGTGAAGCAGGTAGATTTGGTGCCCACTTTATCTACCTTACTAGGAGTTCCAATACCCTTTCAAAATTTAGGAATACTCGTTCCGAATTGCTTGCCGAAAACAACTGAACAAGATAATTGGCGAATGATTCTTTATTCCTTGTGGGCGAATACTCAGCAAATGGTAGAGTATATAAAGGAATATTCTGAAAACGAAGGCACTCTTGATCAGAATAGGTTGAACTCGTTCTTCCAGAAGTACTCCATTCTCAATGGAAAAATATTTTCCGTCGATAACGAAGAGAAATTCACAAAATTTTCTGAAGAAGCAATTAAATTTCTCGGCGAACTGCGTCACTTGTGTGAGGAAATGTGGGTGCAGTACGATGCCTTCTCAATGGCCAGAGGACTCCTTTTCTCGTTTTTGACAGTATTTTTCGTATTCGTCATAACCGACGGTATTCCATACGAAACGCTTGTTGCAATATTTTCGAGCTCTTACGTGATGTGCTCCTACGCTATGGTGCTTGTAGCTGCCATGTGCGGGGCAGTTTTTTATTATTTCGGTTTGGCAGAGAACTTGTCATCGGTGATATTTTTCGCTACAGGCGGAATGTCGCAGGTTATGTTGGCGTTGATTATCCTCCAGAACTGGGAATCGATAACTCTAAATTGGTATTCGAAGGGTAAATCAGACAGACTGTCCAATCTGGTATGCCGCCTCGTTCTGGTCTGCAACTTATGCGGGCTGTTTTCGAACAGCTTCATTGTAGAAGAATCCTTTGTTCTTCTCTTTTTACTAATAACTGTTATACTTGTTGGGTCAGTAGGTATAGCTTCTTCGAGTAACCAAACAGAAACCAAGCGGAAGCAAGGCGTGATAAAAGTCTTCAGTTGGTCCAAAGTTAAATTTCTAATGTTGGCAGTAGCGATCGCCGCCTTGGTCAGAAGTTCTATGTATTTCTGGAGGTGCAGGGAAGAACAACACTGGTGTTTCTCGATGCATCACGAAATTGGTTACACAACCAAAACAGAAACCACCAAACTGCAATGGACAATCACCGTGATCTGCCTGGGGGTTTTCGTTTTTGCCACCAAAGAATGGTTGAAAAACGCGGGAAATTTGAACGGCTACTCTCTGACAGTCACCCTTTCCAAGTTTTTGCCTACCGCCATCGTGGTGTGCATCGCCGGGTTTTGGGCATTGAAAAGAGTGCCCCCTAACAAGAAACACTCTTTTTCTTTAAAATCGATTAACATGATGGCGTGGGCTGTGTACGGCTTGACGTTTTTAGGGATTATCACGTGCGTATTGAAACCCCTCTGTGCTTACATCTTTCCGTCTAGAGAGGCTAGTCAAACTGACAACTCGATTCCTTCCATTCTGAAGAAACTCAAAAGCGAGAAGAAATCCGAAGATGTTCCGGTGGTGTACGGATTGGGTACTGTGTACAGTTCAGTATTTGTAATAATGGGGGTGTACATCACACTATTCATAGCTTTACTTTTGGGCGATGCAGTGGCGCCATCTGCTGTAATTATGTTTATGACAGCTTGTTTTATCCTGATAGTAATTTCCATTCTTCGGGTAGAGAAAGCGACTTCTGTAGGTAAGATATCGATTATTTTTTTTTGTTCAGTTTTGTTTTCTTCAAATGTAGGATGATTCTTAATGACCCTAGTTAGACATATTTCAAAATGGCACAAAAGTAATAATCTAATGTGATCACAGATAATTCTAATGGAATGTAAGTATCGATATTGGTGTGCCACACAAGAGAATATTGACTGCATAATCCTAATTATGAAAAGTTCAGTACACTCATCGAAAAAGTGTTTTTCAATTGTCTGATAAAAAAACATTCAGAGCTCAACCACCCTGCCACACTATATTGTTGAATATGTTTCTCCTGTCATCTCACTATCCACTCTCATTCCTAAAACTTTTTCATTCAATCTTACCAAACTATCTAGTATAATCGCGACAAATGTTTTTTTGCTAAGGAAGCCATGGAGGATATTTTTAGGGGTTTCCAGAGCAAGTCCGTTGCTCAAGCATTGGTGAAGTTTTTCAATATTTCCCTTGGTGACATTTTTGACTTCACTTTGTTTGCCATCAATGCGAAAAGTTGTATCATACACATAAATCATTTTTTGAATTTGGGGCTGTACATATTTCTTTTATATCATTCACAAACAATATGATCAAATGACTATGACTCACGATTGATCCCTGAGGTATTCCAATTCTCACATAGCTTCTTCGGATTTGAAAAGCAAAAAGATAGATCAATAGATAAATTTATTATCCTCTTAATTTACAATAATAGACAGATCACAAACAAATTATTACTACACTAATAATAATTTGAAAGTTTAAGGAACTGATGAACTAGACTTAGAATTTACTTGTTAATTAAAAGTTTTTTCTTCAGGTGGCCCTGTGTCATATGTTTTCATTATATGTTCATTATCACCCACACCTTAAGGGTTGAAAAAATACATTTCATACACTATTCAAAACTGAAAATGTTTTGAAGTGAGTCTAACTAGCTGGTATCATGTTTTGGATAAGATGTTTTGTATAAGACGTTTTTGGATAAGATGTTTTTGTATAAGATGTTTTGTGTAAGATGTTTTTGTATAAGATGTTTCGTATAAGACGTTTTTGGATAAGATGTTTTTGGATAAGATGTTTTGGGTAAGATGAAATATATGCAAAATCTTTTCTTTTCAGAACAATTATTCGAGGTACCGAATATATTTATATTGATTTGGATTATTTTGGCCCAGTACTTTTTTTATGCTTCCGGACACCAACCGGCTCTTCCCAATATAGCTTGGGAGGCAGCCTTTGTAGGAACTTCAGAAATAGTTTCAAACAACTTTATTCCAGGAACTTTGATAATAATAAATACTTTTTGTTCGAATGTTCTGATTGGATTTTTGTTGCCGTTGGTATTGATCGCACCATTTACCATTTTCGTAATGATACCGTCAGTGTGCGAGAAAAACACTGCTATCAAGCACGCTCTGTTCAAAGGAGAAGTCATATTGTTTGAAAAAAATGGTCTCTTTATGAATTCCTTGTTCACGCTATGCTGCAAGTACATTGTGGGGCATGGTATAAGGGTTAGTATGTTTATTTATTTATTTGTTTCAAATACTTTTCCATTCCGAACATTGCAATAGAGATGTTCACTGTATTCAAATAAAAATATAATCTTACCCGCGAAATGATGAGGAGATAAAACAAGTATCTTGCCCCAAAACTTCGAATTACACCAATATATCAATTATGAAGTATTCAAATGCATTACTCGAACTTTAAAAAAAACAAATAATTTCAGCTGTATTACGTCCAAAAAAACTCGAGAATCGACAGAGACGTGACAGTTTGTTTCCGATTTAATTAATCAGGAATATTCAACATCTCTATTCAACGTGAATTTTTAAGTTTAGAACCTTCACAGTTAAACAATTTTTATTATCCTTTGATTGTTTTTAGGTTTTCGTTAGCATGTTAGCCGCTACAATCCACTGTCGTCACTTGATGATATGGAAAATATTTGCTCCAAAGCTGATCTTCGAGTCGATAGGAATGCTGGTTACTCTGGGATCCGTGATGTTGAGTTACATGATACTAATAAGAGTTAACAAACAAGTTGAAAGACTTATTACTGCTCTCAATAAAATGAGTTGACCTCACACACCTGTGGGTGTTCACAATACTAGTCTGAAGTAGTATTAAAGTAAATTTATGATAGGCAGTACTTTATTTCAATCCTTTTGTGTCAATAAATCGATGGTCAGGAGTTGCTGAAAACAGATTCCCAACTGCAAAAATGATTTCGGGTAGGAATTTGCGAAAAAATTTCCCGCTAATTTTAACAGAGTGATTCATAAAAAGTGAACAATGGGCTTCTTGAAATGGGATCTTTGTCACTGTTCATGAAATAGAGAAAAAAAGGCCGTTCTCAAAGCAATACAGCCTTGTTGCGTTGTTTAGAAAGAGTTGCAGATAACTATAGAGCAATGTGGCAATGCCATTTCAGAGATGGATCTAATGTGAGCCCTTGGCTTTTTCACCCATTAGATTCAGAGGTTTATACGAAAACGAAGTATTTTTATTTGGATTCTGTTCAAAATTATTCGCTACAAACCATTCATCAGCTTTATCCTCTACACTTAGAATAGAAGAGTCTAAGAGATCTTTATTGTTACTTGATTCATATACCTTTCAGCGAACATAATTCACGAAAAAAGCTTTTTTTATACAACATGTTACTTAATAACGTGGGTTATAAACAAAAGGACGGTGACTTGGGAAACGTGCGGACGGCCGTTGTCATGGGGTAGGAGTGGACCTCTTCTGTTGACCAATGCGGCTGTTGCTGACGCAATTTTCGGTACATTTCGTCGATTTCCACACAATAGGACTTTGCTGTGAGGATTTGGTCCGGTTGCAGAAAGTTATAGTGAAACACACCAGCCGCTGACGACCCCACAGTATCCATGGTCTTTTTTTGTTGGGCTTTCGCCTTTTGAAAGTGCCTAGGTGGTATATTGGTGTCCAATCACTATCCTGAACATCTCCTGTTGTAGAGGATCCACTTTTCACCACACGTGACGATCCAATACAAAATGGATCGCTTTGTTGCGCAAAAGCAAAGAAGAACAGATCTCAACGTGACAATTTCTGTCGATCGTTCAAATCGTGGGGCACCCACTTTTCAATATATCCAATATGTGTTATACCATGAAAACCGCGTGGGAGCTGATGCCCAGTTCTTCCGCCATTCCATAAGCACCATTTGTGGTGAGTCAGTCTCCACCAGGGTCCTCAAATCCTCGTCCTAGATCAGTGTAGGTCGACCATTTCGGGGGTCATCTTTTTTTTAAAATATAATGTAAACTCAAGTATAAAAACACTGAATAAAAAACCACAAACTATGGTTAAAACATACATACACATAAAACATGCTAAGTTAAAAATGATCGGTATAGAACTCAGTCAAACTGTAATAGGGACTACTACTCAAAATTTATGTAATCACTAATACATTAGTATCATCGGCATAACACACCATATGTATATTAAAGTTGTTAGTCATGTTGAGATATCTTATGAGGTCATTTGCATAAACTACATAGAGAAATGGTCCCAGGATCGAGCCTTGCGGTACTCCTTGAGGTATGTGTGAGTAGGACTGATTAAGTTTCACAACTTGCTTTGGATTACTTAGAAAAGACTCTAGAAGGTACAGGGGTACTCCTCTGACACCATATCTCGGTAACTTAGTAATCAGTAGTTTATGATCGACGCAGTTGAAAGCGCGCGAGAAGGCCAGAAATAGGCCCATCACAAATTTGTTGTTGTCGAGATATTTCATTACACGGCTCTGGAATTCACAGAGAGCAGATTCTTTGCTTTTCTTTTTAATGAAACCATGCTGCTATGACGAAAGCAGATTATATTTGTCGAGGAAAACACACAGCTGGTTTTTCATATTCAGGTCAAATAGTTTTGAAATACTAGAAATAATGCTTATTGATCTATAGTTATTCAGATCACTCTGGTTTCGTTTTTTGTATATTGGACACACTCTTGCGTATTTTAGTTTTTCTGGAAAAATCCCCTTTTGTACTGATAAGTCAATTAATACTTTAACGATTTGCATATAATGAGACCAATTTCTTTCAGAATAGTATTACTAAATCCATCTATGTCAAGGGATGTTGAATTTTTCAAGCTGAGAATTAATTCTAAGAGGTCATTTTCTGTTATTGGGGACATATAAAATGTGTTAGGGCACAGAGGTACATTGTTATTTATGAAGTCCATGTCATACACTAAGTTAAGGTTAGTTCATTTCGGAACGAATATCGCATAAAAAGTGCGATTTAAAATGGCGTCGTGTTTATCGTAAAAAAGTTGACAAAACTGAACTTTTTTGCGATTTCCGCAAAATGTTATACGTCAACATACAAAGTAGTTATATTGCTTTGACTCTCATTTTTTAAGCCCATACATCGAAATTGAATCCGAAATGGACGAATGTGTCAGGTTGCCAAATTATATCAACTTTACCGTAAAAATCTTCATTGAGAAAACCCCGTCTTTATAGTGGGAAATATTTTCAAAAATAGAAGAAAATATGGAGAATATCACAATCTTGTGGCTGAAGTGAATGAGAATTAGTGATCCAGAGAAATATTTCAACTATTTCAGGCTCACTCTCTCATTATTCAATAAATTATTGAATTTGGTTGGCCCCTCGTTAAAGAAAACTCATTTTGCAAAAGAACCCCTCGCCCCTGCAGGCAGTAACGTTAAGATAACTGGTTTGAGGACACGCTTCTATCAAACAAAACTTGAGCAAATTGTTAGTCCTATATTCTGATATGATGGAGTCTGGTCATAAAAGTCGTAATTCATATGAGGCGTATGTCATCATTCAGGTTCATGTAATACAATTTAAAATTGAACAATGAAATCCCTAGATATTGCCCGCTTCAACATGAACAGGGTATTTTGACAATTGAGGCAAATTTGCGGAACCGCAAAAATATTATCGCAATCAATATTCCAAGAATATTCTATGAATATTTGGAATATATACGTTCGTTTTATGATATACAGGGAATATTCCATGAATATCTGGTGCTGTGTGGGACCTTATCGTCTACTAGTTCTGAACAAGAAGTGATAAAATCAAATATTCTGCGCTGGAAATTCCAAGTTCCAGCACGTGCCAAATTGTATTATAAGAAAAAAGCCTGAAAAAGTGATTCTTTTAAATAATCTGGCATTTTAATATGACAATCAAAACAATTTACTCGAGAAACGACAAGCTCGGTACTTTACCTTAGAGCCACAAGGCTACACAGTCACTAGATCATGAAATATAGCACCATATATTTCCCCAATGACACTTTTTGAATCTTTTTTATTAAGAGTTCTCAGACCTCGGATGCGGACTATTCAATTCAAGTACAAAATAACAAAAACAATGAGAAGCCATCAAGCGGTCGCCACTTTGCCATTGTTTGGTATGCAAATAAAACAAACTCATTGCGAAGCCTGCTATTAGCAAGATAATCACTCTTCGCTTATCGGTTTTGCATCTACACCTCCAACTTCTGATGCACAATCTACTTCAATGACGATAACAGAATCGACGAATGGTATCTTAGAAAGTGGCCGAAGTTTCTTGCACCATCTGTAAGAAGCAGCTTGGTCGCCATCATTATAGTCTAGTGAAATTAATATTTCAGTTTATAATGATTCGAATTGGGCAGAAAATTGGTATGGGTCCTAATTACACTGTTATAAATAAAACGTCGAAAGTCCTGACGATGCCATGTGTGCTGAAAAATCTATCGAAGGTCAAACGTTTAAAATATCGGTTTTTTGGTTTTTTATCGTCACGGCAAGTGTTATCGCAAAAACAGATCAGTGGTAAGTTTATAGACCAAACGATTATTTACAAAAATCGTTTCACTTATTTTTTTTCTACGATTATTACTGAAATATCGCCAATGCAAAAGTTGAAGAAGTTGTGAGAAATGAGAAATAGAACTTGCTATGTTGTTGAAGGAGTTGATTTTCATAAGCTTTTATTTAACTTGTTTCTCTGCATGGTCCGTGACCATGAGAGACAAGGAATTGGAGCATTTCTGATGCTGATGAACTCGGTATCGTTTTCGACTCTGAACGAGGTGACCACAACTCTGTCACCGAGTTGGAACCCGTTCAGCAAAAAGCTCAGATGAAAGCCGCAGAGATCACCTTACTTCTGCGGAGACACAAGGATAAGCCAATGCCTGGGGTATTCTTCAATAACATTAGAAACCTTGGCTTATCAAAGCGCCTGACGTTCGCTTTTCTCAGGTCGAGTGGGATGAAGTCGGCAACTGAGAAGTTCATCATGGTTTGCTAGGATGGTGTCTTTAACACCTCAGTCTACCGCAGTCGCGTGATGGGTATAGAGGTTCCTGACACAAGGTGCAGGGCCTGCCGCGAGGCGCCCGCAGCAAGTCCAGCATATGCGGTCTCGGCCTTTGATCATTTAACAATGATATAGGAAACGTCAAGTAAAAAAAACATGTAGATGTATAATACGGAATTAATAAATAACATAGAGATTACAGTACTATGATCACAATTATTTGGAAGTGTACTCAAAATACTCATTAATAGAATGAGAACGTCCCTCTAAAAGGTATTCTTTAACTTTCCGTTTGAAAGTAGACATTAATGGGATAGTCTTTATATTTGAAGGCAGACAATAACTTGGACCCTACTAGAGAGGGTGATTTTTGAAACAATCTCGTACGATGTTGCTGCAGGTTAATTAGATTTCCATTTCTTGTTGGGTAATTGTGACACTTTAAATCAGTTTCAAACTCAGACTCCTTCTTTTTAACAAAAAGCAGACAATTATAAATGTATATAGATGGTAGCGTAAAAATGTTTCTTTCCCTAAAAATGGGTCTACAGGAATCTGTGTGTCGAAGACCATACAACATACGTATTATCCTTTTTTGAGAGATAAATGCTCGACTGATGTTAATTCCCTCTCCCCACAAAAGCACATTGTAAGATAGTACTAAATAAACCATCGCACAGTAAATATTCAGCAAATGCTCTTCATTCATAACCTTTTCAAGTTGTACTAATGTCTAAAAACTGGTGTTGATTCTCTTGCAAACATAATTTATGTGAACTTGTCAACTCAACCCAGAATCTATATGAAGAAGTGT